CCCCAAAACCCCAAAACCCCAAAACCCCGTAAAACAGAGAATAAAGGGATTCTGAAAATTAATAAATATTATAATCATGAAATCAATTTACATAGTCTGTTAACTCTTCTTTTCCTTTTAATAGCTAAGACCTCTATTCTTTAATGCTCTCTTTAATAGATTTACGAAAATTTTGAAGTCTATCATGAACTGAGACAGCTCCTTAGGCAAATTTCTTTAAGACTCTTGCTTGTTTAGATAAAAATCTCTAATCAGTTGTGAAATTGCTCTTCTCATCAATTACTTTCTAGTCCTCTTTATCTTATAAATCCGAGGCAATTTCACTAGTACCATCACTCTCTTTCTCAACTTTTTTCAATAACTATCTTAATTTTTTCTTTTTCGAGATTACTTACTCTTATTTCAACTTATCCTCGCCCTCAACTGGACTACTACGTCTATATACATCAGGGAATTAGTAGTCGAAATCTTTATGAGCCTCATAGTACTATAATTATAATTGCTCTTGCTCTCGCTTATCTTTGACGGCCAGGCTTTCATACAGCTTTAGCTTCATGACCTAAGACTAGCTATGCTAAAAATTATTCATTAACATTTTCTGAGGACTCACAGTCTTAGCCAAGGATATCAGAGACATCGGTTGATTCTGATCCTATAGATCGAATTGTTACAAAAGTGAGTGTCTCTTGTTAAGAATCTCAGGTAAGTTTACTTATGAGTTTCTAATGTGACTCTAAATCGCTTTTTTCTGCATTTTATGTCTTTAGCTACTCTTGACTTTCCTTACTGGTGAATTCTCATGCGAATCATATATTGTATGCTAGTATGCATGAGTTGGATTAGTTGAGTCACTTACTCCATTTGATATTCCTTAATGATTAAGAGTAGGGTGAATATTATAGTGTTTTTCTAATTCAGTGAGTTTGCTTTCTAGTTCCTCAGTTAATTAAAATTTGCATTGGGATCGTGAAGTAATGAAATTTTAGATATTAATAGTTCCTCTTTTACCCCCGTTTCAACTGTCTTGATTATCATCTATGCCATCCAAGTGTAATTATTTCTTGTTAGGTTTGAAATCGATGTCTTGTTGAGTTTTTTGCAGATCTGAAAGTATATTTGAATTCTTGAATTTTAGGAGTTTCAGTTTAGAGGCATCGTATGACTGCTTTCAAGCAGTGAATGGATTATTTTTAGGTTTAAACATAAACGTGCTTTAGGTCATGTTAATTTCCATTACAATCAATCAAACTATAATTATTACAAAGGAAGTTATTAAATTTTATCTAAATTTATTTCTTGTTTAAACCCACAAGAATGGGGTTTTGGGGTTTTGGGGTTTTGGGG